GTTTCGACGATCCGTTTTCAGGCAAGACCGTATCTGTTTCAGAAGCCATCAAGAAAAATCTGATTGATAGAGAAACCGGAATGCGCCTGCTGGAAGCCCAGATTGCTTCAGGGGGTGTGGTGGACCCCGTGAATAGCGTCTTTTTGCCGAAAGACGTAGCCTTGGCCCGTGGGCTGATTGACAGGGATTTGTATCGGTCCTTGAATGATCCCCGAGATAGTCAGAAGAACTTTGTGGATCCAGTCACCAAAAAGAAGGTCAGTTACATGCAGCTGAGAGAACGGTGCAGAATCGAACCACACACTGGTCTGCTCCTGTTGTCAGTGCAGAAGAGAAGTATGTCCTTCCAAGGAATCAGACAACAGGTGACCGTCTCTGAGCTGGTGGATTCCGGTATATTGAGACCATCCACTGTAAATGAACTGGAATCAGGTCAGATTTCTTATGATGAGGTTGGCGAGAGAATTAAAGACTTCCTTCAGGGTTCAAGTTGCATAGCGGGCATATACAATGAGACCACGAAACAGAAGCTTGGCATTTATGAGGCCATGAAAATTGGCTTGGTCCGACCTGGTACTGCCCTGGAGTTGCTGGAAGCCCAAGCAGCTACTGGCTTTATAGTGGATCCTGTTAGCAACTTGAGGCTACCAGTGGAAGAAGCCTACAAAAGAGGCCTGGTGGGTATTGAGTTCAAAGAGAAGCTCCTGTCTGCAGAACGAGCTGTCACCGGATATAATGATCCTGAAACGGGAAACATCATCTCTTTGTTCCAAGCCATGAACAAGGAACTCATTGAAAAGGGCCATGGCATTCGTTTATTGGAAGCACAGATTGCAACCGGGGGGATCATCGACCCGAAGGAGAGCCATCGCCTGCCAGTTGACATGGCGTACAAGAGGGGCTACTTTAATGAGGAGCTCAGTGAGATTCTCTCGGATCCAAGTGACGATACAAAAGGATTCTTTGACCCCAACACAGAAGAAAATCTTACCTATCTTCAGCTAAAAGAAAGATGCATCAAGGATGAAGAAACAGGGCTCTGTCTTCTGCCCCTGAAAGAAAAGAAGAAAGAGGTGCAGACATCACAAAAGAATACCCTCAGGAAGCGCAGAGTGGTCATCGTTGACCCAGAGACCAACAAGGAGATGTCTGTTCAGGAGGCCTACAAGAAGGGCCTTATAGATTATGAAACCTTCAGAGAACTGTGTGAGCAGGAGTGCGAGTGGGAAGAAATAACCATCACTGGATCTGACGGCTCCACCAGGGTGGTCCTGGTAGACAGGAAGACAGGCAGTCAGTATGATATTCAAGAGGCTATTGACAAGGGCCTCATTGACAGGAAGTTCTTTGATCAGTACCGATCTGGCAGCCTCAGCCTCACTCAGTTTGCTGATATGATCTCCCTGAAAAACGGCGTGGGCAACAGCAGCGGCATAGGTGGTGGCATCAGTGACGACGTTTTCAGCAACAGCCGACATGAGTCAGTAAGTAAGATTTCTACCATATCCAGTGTCAGGAACATAACCATCAGGAGCAGCTCTCTGTCTGACCCCCTGGAAGAATCAAGCCCCATTGCAGCCATCTTTGACACAGAAAACCTAGAGAAGATCTCCATTACAGAGGGAATAGAGCGGGGCATTGTCGATAGCATCACTGGTCAGAGGCTTCTGGAAGCTCAGGCTTGCACAGGTGGCATCATCCACCCAACGAGTGGTCAGAAGCTCTCACTTCAGGATGCAGTCTCCCAGGGCCTGATTGACCAAGATATGGCCACCAGGCTGAAGCCCGCTCAGAAAGCCTTCATTGGCTTTGAAGGTGTGAAGGGAAAGAAGAAGATGTCAGCAGCAGAGGCGGTAAAAGAAAAATGGCTCCCCTATGAGGCAGGTCAGCGCTTTCTGGAGTTCCAATACCTCACTGGAGGCCTTGTTGACCCAGAAGTGCATGGGAGGATAAGCACGGAAGAAGCCATCAGGAAAGGATTCATCGACGGCCGAGCAGCTCAGAGGCTGCAAGACACCAGCAGCTATGCCAAAATCCTGACCTGCCCCAAAACCAAATTAAAAATATCCTATAAGGATGCCATGAATCGCTCCATGGTGGAAGATATCACTGGCCTACGCCTTCTGGAGGCCGCCTCTGTTTCTTCCAAGGGCTTGCCTAGCCCTTACAACATGTCTTCTGCCCCAGGCTCCCGATCGGGCTCCCGCTCTGGCTCCCGCTCCGGCTCCCGCTCTGGCTCTCGCTCTGGTTCCCGAAGTGGGTCCCGGAGAGGAAGCTTTGATGCAACAGGGAATTCTTCCTACTCTTACTCCTACTCCTTTAGCAGTAGCTCTATTGGGCACTAGTAGTCAGTTAGTTGCTACTTCCTTGGCTTCACTTATGTGAATTTTCACTTTACTAAATACTAACAAAAGAAAACCTAGTGCTTGCAGTATAGTGATAGAGTTTCAATGATTAAGAAGATATACCCTTGGTTGAAATCAAATACTGTTCTGGCTTTTTATCTTCTCAGCTCATCTAACATATCTAATACACTGGATGTAGTGTGTCTGAAATGGTAATCAGTTGTAAGGATAGCACAAATTGAATCTAGAGTTCGTTCCTTCTGTGTTTAGTTTTTTTGATTGGTTCTTGTACTTCTTTTGGCCTATAATACAGATTTCTGTTCTTGGAGATGAAATTAAGTTGATTATTGATATTCTAGACATCATTCTGTTTTTCATCTAAATATTTCCATTTTCTGTATTAGGAGAAAATTACCCATCCCATTCTCCCCAGAATACTCCACCCCAAACCCAAACATTTTGGAATGAGTCTCCTTTAGGTTTAGATTGTGGATTGTGTAACCTATATACTCTTCAATGCACCTGTTTGGTTCGGCATTAATTTGACTATATGTGCGTGATAGCAGCAATCTTTGCTTTTCTTTGGTCAAACTTTTCTGTTTATTTTGCTTGTCATTTACTATGTACTTTAAAAAGGTGTCTTTATGAAGTTTGCGATTCTGGCAATAAACTTTTAGACTTTTGAAGTTTCTGTGTTTTGATTTCATATGTTTATACATACGAGGCATTTATCAGCATCTTTCTGTTAATATGTCTAAAATCTTCTGTTTACTAAGTGCCTGTTAAGGATGACCATTAAAAAAAAAAACTATCTTAGTTCTGAATTCTTGTTAGAAGTTGGTCTTTTGTAGTTTTTTTCAACATTCTCAAGTGCCTGTTATGTACCAGGCAGAGCTCTTGGAAAGAAGCCCATGTAAAGAGGCCAGGCCACATGTCAATACCCAGTTCTTGTTTATCCTGGACAGTGAATTCTAAGTAGCATGGGCAAAAGTCACCATAATACCATTAGAAAAAAAATGAAGTGCCTAAGATTCTATTTTGGGTATTCTCAAAATATATGGTGTTTCATTTTGTCCCCTCAGATGTATGAATTGTCCTTGAATCTATAAAAATGAGTCCTGAAGGGTTTTTGGCTCTCTGTTGAAGGACAATGAGATAAAACCTATTCTTTGTATCAAAAGAAGCTTTTGAAATTCAAACACTTGTTATTAAATCAATATGACCTTACTGAATACCTATTATGTCTAGTATTAGGTTAGATACTATGAGGATTCAATACATTGATATTCAGTACATACGACTTCAAGACATTTGCAGTCTGGATGGGGACAGAAGACACCTATAAAGCAATCAGTGGAAGAACTTTCATATATCAGCAATATGTAGTAATATAATCAAGTGCAGTACAGACTAGAAAATAGGAAAACAAATGAAATGTTAATTGTGAAGAGCAAAAAAGATCATATTTAAGATAATACTTAAATTATTGGGGCTTTTGATACTTCGGATGAAAACAGCATTCCTTCCTTCCTTGTCTCACCTCCTTCTCCTTGCTCCCCTCCCAATCTGGAAGACTTGAAATTAATTTTCTTTTTAATTAAAAAAAATATTTATTTATTATTGAGAGACAGAGACAGAACATGAGTAGGGGAGGGGCAGAGAGAGGGGGAGACACAGAATCCAAAGCAGGCTCCAGGCTGTGAGCTGTCAGCACAGAGTCCGATGCAGGGCTTGAACCCACAAACCGCAAGATCATGACCTGAGCTGAAGTTGGGTGCTTAACCGACTGAGCCACCCAGGCGCCCTGAAATTAATTTCATTCACTAATAATTGACTTCTGTGTGCTACACATTGTGCCCAAAGCCATGGATCCCCTGGTATTAACACATTGTAATATAAAAGGAAGAGAAAAATAAGTGGTAAATGCTGTGTTGGGTGAAATGAAGAAGGATCTTCATGCTAGAGCTAGGAGACTGTATCAGTCAGCTTGGGCTGCCGTAACAAAATGCCATAGACTGTGTGACTTAAATTAATTTTCTCAGTTCTAGAGGCTAGAAGTCCAAGATCAAGGTGTCCTTAGATTGGTTTCTGGTGGGAGCTCTCTTTCTGAATGGTAGGCAGTAAGGAGTGGGGCGGGGGAAGCCCTGTTGTGTCTTGCTTGTCTTAGAAGGACTTGAGTTTTATCACATTAGAGTCTCTTCTTTATGACTTCATTTAACCTTCATTACCTTCTTACAGTCCATAACTCCAAATAAGTCACATTGGAGGTTAGGGCTCCAGGATATGAATGGGGGTGATGGTGGTGGTGAGGACAACACACAATTCAGCCTATCATAGAGGCCTAATCTAGAATGGGACAGGAGATTTCTCTAGAAAAAATGGTGATTAAACAGATGAATAAGTATCCATGTAAAGCAGATCTTAGGGTTGAAAGAGCATACCTCTAAGCTGTTGGTGAAAGTTGTTATTAAGCTCTGAGACGAGATAGGCTGTGTCCTAGAGACAGGACTTGCTTGGCCTTGGATAAGTTTTGATTTGGCTCATTTATAGTGAGCCTCCACAGAAAAGGGGAGTATATATACAACTTTTCAATGACAGTCATCATTTCACATTCAAAAATAGTCTCACGTTTTCTAGGCTAGTTGAGCTAAACACATGCTGATAAAGGTAGGTATGCTGTGGACAAAGTATGAATAAACTGGAATTCATCCCTTCATATCTGCTTGCAGCTCTTGGCCTATTTCCGTATTTTTGGGTACTGCTTATTTATACTCAAAACTTTTTTTTTTTTTTTTTTTTTTTTTTTTTGGTGAGAGAATTGTACTATCTGAAATAGCTATTCTGTCCACAGTTTCTCCATCTGATAGAAGTAAGTGCAAAGGGAAGCAAAGATTTGACATTAAGCTTGAGAATAGTATAAAAAAATGTAAGAGGGATTAGGTTCTGGGAGTTAAAACCATTTGGGGAAATTAAAAGGGTTGATTCCAGGTCTTGGATAGGAAATGTACAAAGTAAGCTTGGGTTAATCAAAGCAAGGAAAAGCAATCAAACCAACCTTCCACTGGTCAAGGTTGGGACAATTTGAGAATCAGTTAAGAATTGTGATGGTAACAGAGTATGTAATAATGAATTAAGAAACCTCAAATCAATAATGATTTTAAAATTCCCTTGATTCAGGGCGCCTGGGTGGCTCAGTTGGTTGGGCTCAGGTCATGATCTCATGGTTGGAGCCCTGTATTGGTTTCCATGCTGACAGCTCAGAGCCTGGAGTCTGCTTGGGATTCTGTGTCTCCTCTCTCTGCCCCTCCCTTGCTCGTGCTCTCTCTCAAAAATAAAAATTTTTTAAAAATTTTAAAAATCCCTTGATTTCATAGTGAACAAAAAGAAAGTATGGTAAGAATGCCGGCTAACAAATACAGAAGCCATGACAATACTAGAGAATCATCATTTATAACTCCTAACATAATGACAGAGTCACTGAAGTATTGTATCAGTTTGTTGGGGAAGAAGACTCATATGGCTTCAAAGTATCATCCCACAGAGGAAAATGTCCTACAGCGGAGTGATAAAGCTTTCTACCTTTACCAAGTGGTCAAATTTAGCATTACTAATAGAAGGAGAATTTAAGATGGGTGTCCTCTATGAGATGTAATAAAGAGGCATACACATCTCCTTGCAAAAATTATTTTAAAAATCTAATCATAGGGGAAAAACCTGATAAATCCAGAAGGAGGAACATTCTATGATGTTCTGAGGCTGGAGAGGCTGGCTGAGGCTCCTGACAAAATTCAATGACTTAATTTAAAAAGGAGGGTATGGGGTGTGCCTGTGTGGCTCAGTCAGTTAAGCATCTGACTTTGGCTCAGGTCATGACCTCGTGGTTTGTGATTTCAAGCCCCACCTCAGGCTCTGTGCTGACAGCTTAGAGCCTGGAGCCTGCTTCAGATTCTCCCCCTCTCCCCTCCTCTCACTCTCAAAAATAAATATATGTTAAAAAATTTTTAAAAAGGAGGGTGGGGAGACATTCCAGGTTAAAAGAGACAAGAGCCGATTACAGTTCATGGGTTGAAAAAACTAATCAAATGGCTGTGAAAGGAATTTTGGAGACAATTGGGGAAATTTGAATATAAACTGAACATTAGATGGTTTTACGAAATTATTATTTTTAAAAAAAAATTTTTTTTCAACGTTTATTTATTTTTGGGACAGAGAGAGACAGAGCATGAACGGGGGAGGGGCAGAGAGAGAGGGAGACACAGAATTGGAAACAGGCTCCAGGCTCTGAGCCATCAGCCCAGAGCCTGACGCGGGGCTCGAACTCACGGACCGCAAGATCGTGACCTGGCTGAAGTCGGAGGCTCAACCGACTGCGCCACCCAGGCGCCCCACGAAATTATTATTTATCTGAGGTTTAATCATGTATGGTGGTTATGCAGGACAATATCCTTATTCTTAGGAGATGCATACAGACCTATTTGGGGGTTGAAACAGCTGCACCTGACCCTTAAATAATTCTGCAAAATAAGTATGTGAGGTTGTGTGTGTCTGGAGAGAGCGAGAGAAAGCAAACGTGGGCAAATGTTAACCAGCTGGAGGACGGCTTTGCAAATTCTCCTTGTACTACTCTTTAAACTTTCTGTAGTTATAAGCCATTAAAAAAAAAAGTTCAGTTTTTTATTGAACATGTTGAAAGAGGTTTAGTGAAAAAGACCCAAAGCTCATGCATGCCATCATCAGACTCCTCTGATTCTTTTATTTGCTCCCACTTTCTTCTTCTTAGAGGGATAGAGTGGTGGACGGGGCAGCACTTTTGCTGGTGCAGCGCCAGCCGCTGGGGCAGGTACACCAGCCCCTACGTTGAGATGAGGTTCCTGATGGTGACACTGGCCAGAAAGGTTCAACATTTAATGAGGGCATCGATCCTATCCTCCGTGACTGCCATCTCATCGTCGTGCAGGATGAGGGCTGAGTAGACGCAGGCGAGTTCCGAGACAGAGGCCAAGCTTCGGGCAAGTGTCCAGTGGGAGCTGCCAGGGGCCTGTACTAGTGGCCAGATTAAGTGAAGGCCTCATCCCAACATGGCCTGGCTTCGTCGGAAGGACGGAGCATCTTAGAGGCAACTGAGGAAAGGGCGACATAAAGTTTTTTTTTTTTTTTTTTTT